GTTCGTAGGAATAATGTCATTGTAATCATAGCCATGATTGAGAGCTAAGAAAAATAAGTAAAAATTAAAAAAGATTAAAACTTGTAAGTTTGCGCGCAGCATGGAATGGGTCAAATAAAGTGAAAACAATACTTGGGCAAGCTTGAAAGGGTAGAAAAATGAGTTCCTCTTCATGAGTAAGAACTCCCTTGCAAAGCAAGCTTTCAACAGTTCAGTTTTACTAACGCCATACTTTTTCGTTGTTAATGCAGCTGGGTGGCTCTTGGCCTTGTCAAATGGAATTGCGAGTTCATGTGTAATGAACCTGTAAGGCTCATCTCTGCTTGCCCAATACTGGTCCTGATCTTTCCTTGATGTCACCTGCAAAATTAATGATTTATTCACACATGAAAAATTATATATGTGACACTTTTGTGTTAATGCTCAAACAAAAGCTATGTAGTGACCGACTTCTTGCAGGAAGTTCGCCACACCTTTCCTCTTGGGACATCTGAACCCCATGATTTGAAAAATTCAAGAACATTTTCACGAGGACCTTGGTACACAATGTGACCATCGGATAGCAGAACAATGTCATCAAACAGGTCATAAGTCTCAGGTGCTGGTTGCAGCAGTGAGATGAATGCAGTTTTTTTTCAGAATGTGAACATATTGCTTGATCAAATTCACAATTTGATACGTTGTGGAACTATCCAAACCCGTAGATATTTCGTCCATGAATAACGCCTTAGCCGGTCCAACAAGCATCTCACCTACTTACAGTTCATTGATTTATCAAAACTTCTCAAAAATTTATAAACCATGCTCTTTAATTTAAGAACTAGAATTATGTTTTTACCAGTTGTGACTCATTTCTTTTGTCCGCCGGAGATGCCCCTTATTAAGTTATCCCCAACCAAGGTATCTGAACATACATCTAATCCCAAAATCTGGAAAAATCAAATGAATTACCGATCAATAAAGTGTAATTTCAGAAAGTCCTCTTATAGTACAAAATATAAACGTGATTTTGCCTTTAGTATATATTCTGTCACCACTTGCTGTCTGGCCTTCTGATGCCACTGCCTATAATAACCGAAACAATGAATTAACAATACGCAAGTCGTTGATTAGATTGAAAACATAATTAACAACACACTAACTAACTAGTAGAACTCTCTAGTAGATATCTAAGTTCTGCTAAGTAGCTTTTCTTATTTCTCACCTTCACGTAGATATCTATGTCTGCATCCGGCTTGATATTCTCTTCTTTCTCTCGTCTGCTTAACTCTACTAGGATGTCACCACAATTTAAACCAACCACAAATAATCTTCGATTAATAGTCATCGGTTTGGTTATGAAAATTGAACAAAAGTCAGTTATCTAAGCCCACCATAACGGGCTCCGACCCCTTGGCATCTTGTAGAGAAGTTCAATGTTTCTCCGATTCTCCCATATGAACATCATGTTGGCTGGTGTAAGCAGCAGTCCTCTGAGGCACAAACTCATGCATGCCGTGACCATTGTAGGTCACACTTCCTGAAAACTGCACAACAATTATTGCTCAGATAAAATAGTGAAAAAAACCAACGGCAGCCCCTAAAGCTAAAATTGAAAATCTGAAATCATGATTGCATGTTGTCTAACCTGAAGATCCCGGTCAAGCTCTCCAGCCAAAGCCAACAAGATTGTGGTCTTTCCAGAACTCGGAGGACCCAACAGCAGTGTCATTCTGTACAACAAACACATGATCAACCAAGTCATTTTCTTTTCGACCAAAAAATAAAACACAGATGAACCAAATTTGCATCATTCTCTCACCTGCAAGGCCTAATGATCCTGCTAACATCTTTGAGGATAGACAAGTGCTTCTTCTTGCTAGGAAGAATATGAAGGGAGTTCAACAAACCCTTTGGAACCCGAAAAACAAGTAGTTCAGTAATAATGTATCAAAACTAAAAACGAAATGGTTACAAGATGGGTCCAAAGATTATATATGCAAACTCTAGTAGTTAATGATTTACCTCCACTATATTAACACAGTAATTAAAAACTGTCGGCAGAGCCCTGCTTCCTGCATAAGCTTCAGCAGGCAATTTTCAAATTCTGGAATCTAACTTCTATTTTTGGAATATCAATTCCAACTCTGAGATAAAAACAAGTAAAACAACCCCATTATTATCATAAACCGAGAAGATGGCAACACGCACAGTTACGAAAACTTTCAAATTCTTACCTATCAATGTGGCTCTTGAGTCTCAACAAGAAGTTCTCATGATCCTCCTCAGCTACTCCAACTAACCGCTCAATCAAGTTCTTCCTGTCTTGCACTTCAAGATTGCTCACGCCAACTTCGTTGGCATGGCCTTGAGGAGTAGAGAGCAGGCCTTTGTTCAAGCGCTGAAAAGTCGGAAGTCTCTGAAGAGCAGCCCATTTGAGAGCTTCCTCATCGTCCTCTCCACGTGAAGACGTTGAGAAAACATCGCTGCTATTGTCAATCCAAAAGGAAGAACTTCGTTTAAAACTATGGCCTGCTTTCTCAAGATTACAACTGATCTCCATTGAAGAAGAGCAGCTTGAACTTGGCCAGCTAGTAGCCTGAAACTAAAAACCAACAAAAACCCAAGTTTCTTTTCCTTCCAAAGTTCCAAACTTTATGAATTAAGATAACAAATTACTTGTGTTGATATACACCCACACGTACATATATATAGAAATTATGATGGAAAAGAAAGTATGATGGAAAAAGACTTCGGCTGTGTTGTTTGGTTGGCCACTTTCTCTAGCTTCTGTTGAAATTAATTTTATAGGAAGATGAGGTATTAATTGGTGCTATTAATTTCCTTGGATATCATGTTAAAAAAAATAAAAAAAAATTTGGTGGTAAAATTGGGGGTCAAAACAACTAACATTAACAAAACGTGTCTAAGGAAACCGAACAGCATCCTCAAAGATCGACCTATCCAGAAGAGGAGGAGCCTCGTACAAAGACCAATGTCGAACTTATGGCCTAAATCTGCCATACCATCGACGACTCTATTCTTCTCACGATAAACATGTGAAACCATGCAAATCTAATCCCTGCGTAATAACTCTCGGCAAGCAGTAATGAGATGAGCAAGAGGGTGCAGAGAGGAATTAAAATCCTTTACTAAAGTAATAGCCACAACAGAGTCCATTTCAATAAGCACTTTTCTATAACCCAATCTCCAAGCAAGACAGAAACCACGAAAAAGACCCCATAACTCAGCATTACGCACACTCCCCACACCAATATTTATGGTGAAACCAGCAATCCACTCACCTGCAGCAACACGTAAAATCCCACCAGCACTAGAGCACTCCTTGCCACTCTTCCTAATACCATCCACATTCAACTTGACATAATTTGGAGTTGGAGGAACCCAGGCTAAAAAAATCTTACTCTTCACGGGCTTATTACCAAAATGTTGCACCTCAAAGCAGAGCCAGCTTTTGGGGAGTGTGACCAGTTCTATTGCATAGGGCTCCAAAATTTTGGGAGCTCCAAAAATATTTTTTATTGAATATAATAATATATAAAAATGCTAATCAAATAATATATACTTGCGTAAAATATGTACGGAATTATATAAAATTATAATTGACAATGCTATGTTGGCAAAACTAATCAATTAAAAGGGAAGAACCCTACCGAGGCAAATAATTCAGTGTCAGAGACTCAGAGTCCACTTTTCTTCTCTCACACCAAAGTCCCATCGTTGTATCCCACTTTTCTTCTTTCACAACAGAGTCCTAGACGTTAGAATCCAAGACGTTGTCGCCAATGTCCCAGTCTGCTTCCCTTCTCTCTTCGTGCCATTGTCCTTGTTCCCACAAATTATTAAACCCTAATTTATAAATTCATGAAATTGAAGAGAAACTTCTGAATCATGAAGACAATTCAATTGATCAAAGTGATGTAGACTTTGATTAAAGTAAGATATTTACTAATTTAAGTATATTGACTTGGAATTTGAGGATTTGGGCATTTCTCATCTATAATGATTTTTTTTTCTTTTGTACTTTTTAGGGCAGAATCAAGAGGAGAGCAGTCACAAAAAATCACTAGATGCACACGTATTGCAGACTATCAGGTTTCATTGTTCATACTTACTACAATTTTATTGGGATCTTGTTTGAGATATAAAAGATGACACCTTCTAGAAAATATCTATTTGACTACTTGAAACGTCGAAGAAGAAGAAAAGTTGAACAATTGACTCATTCTAAAAAATGAGCTATTGATAGGTTCTTTCTGAAAGAAAAAGAACCACAAAGTTCAGTGAATGATTTAATTTCGGAACAATAGGATGACAATGAGAAATTAGTTGATGATTTGGGCAATGATGAAATTGATGACGACCTTGATGAGAATGATAATCATGAGGATGCTCCTATTGTCACTGATCAATTGAGTGAGTCCATTCCCTCAAACATTTATGATCCTCAAACTTGGGATAGTCTTGAGCCTAAATGGATTGATTTGTTGGCAGAAAAAAGTCATGCAAGAGATCTATCAATTGAGAAAGATCTTAAAGATCAGTTTAATAGGTATTTAAATATAGCATTTTACACTCGATACTTATCCAATGGAGAGAAACATGATAGAGATTGGCTAGTCTATTCAAAGGATGTTGATAAAGTGTTATGTTTTTGTTGCAAATTGTTCAAGAAAGGGCATCTCAAAGGCCAATTAGCAAATAAGGGCTACAAAGATTGGACACATCTCAATGTGAGACTAAAAAAGCATGAAAACAGTTTTGATCACATCTCGAACTTGACCACTTGGATTGATTTGCGTCCTAGATTGCAGAAAAACGAAACAATTGACAAAGTTGTGCAAGACCAGATCAAGAAATAAAAAGAGCATTGGAGAGAGTTACTATGAAGGTTGATTTCCATTGTGAAATATCTAGCTAAATACACATTGGCTTTTCGTGGAAATAACGATACGCTTTATCAAGAAAGTAATGGAAATTTTATGGGCCTAGTTCAAATGATGGCTGAATCCGATCCATTGATAAAGAATCATCTTCAACGCTTCCAAAATAATGAGATTTGTTATCATTATCTTAGTCCTACCATCCAGAAAGAGTTGATATTGTTGATATCTTGTGAAATCGAAGCTGCAATCATTCAAAAAGTCAAAGAAGCTAAATATTTTACCGTGATACTTGATTGTACTCCTAATTTTAGCCGCCAAGAACAGATGACCTTGATCATAAGATGTGTGAATGTGAACAGTACTCCAGTAAAAGTAGAAGAATATTTTTTGCAATATTTGATTGTGAGTAACACATCAGGACTTCTTGAAGAGTTGCATAATGTATTAAAAGTTCTTGATCTTGATATTGATGATGTGAAAGGGCAATGTTATGATAATGGATCAAATATGAAAGGGAGACACCAAGGTGTACAAAAGAGGCTTTTGGATATAAATCCTAGGGCAATGTACACTCCATGTGGTTGCCATAGTCTTAACTTAACACTTTGTAATATGGAAAACTCTTGTGGCAAAGCGAAAGACTTCTTTGGAACAGTACAACGTATTTACAGCTTGTTCGCAAATTCTACAAAACGATGGTTGATTTTGAAAGAAGATGGGAAAGCCGTGTTGCGAGTGCTAAAGCAATTCAATCACAACCTCTACAAATAAAAAAAGCTTTACTCCAATTAGCAGAAAGTGATAGTGACTTAGTAACAAGAAATGCAACCAAATCTTTGGCAACATACGACATTGGGAATTTTGAATTTTTATTGGGCATGACTATTTGGTATGAAATATTGGTTGTTGTTAATGAGTTTAGTAAAGATTTGCAATCTAATGACATGCTTATTAATGTTGCTATAGAACAAGTACAAGGATTGATCACTTATTTTGAAAAGTACATAAAAACTAGGTTTGTGGAGGCTATGATGAATGCTAAAAAACTTGCTATTGAAATGGAAATTGATCCTGTATTACCAGAAAAGTGTCAAGTTCGTAGAAAAACACATTTTGATGAGAATGAAGGTGAATCGTCCCAACCAAATGAACAATGAACGGAGGAATCTTTTAGGGTTCATTACTTCTTGTATATAATAAATCAAGCTATTGGTTCACTGAAGAGAAGGTTTGAAGAATATCAAGTGTATGATGATATATTTGGGTTTTTGTTCACTTCAGAACAGTTGAATTTGATGGACAATGATAAATTGAAAGATTGTTGTCATCGGCTACAAAACTTTCTCAAGAAAGACGAGCTCTTTGATGTTGATGGGGATGCATTATTAATAGAGTTGAAGCTTTTACAAGAGCATTTGCCAAAAGAAATAAAGATATCCATTGACATATTGAACTACTTGAAGAGGATGCGTTGTTTCCCGATTGTACGAAGAGCCATCTTTAAGTGAAACTTCAGTGCTAGACTTTTTTAAGTTTTGTTGGTTTCTTTAGATTGAACTTATTGTTAGTTATTAGTACTATGGTTACTTTGTAGCTTTCTTTACATTTAATAATATTTAGAAACAGATGGTTAGTGAGTTTTAAAGTTTATTTCGATATTACTTTTTAGCATCAATACATTGTTCAATTTTGTTAAGATGTCTTATAAGAAGGGTCCCTTTTATGAATTTCGCACATGGTACCCGAAATCTTAGAGATGGCCCTGCCTCAAACCACTCTTTAGTAGCTTTGAAAATAAGAATCTGAGGTTGAATTGGGAAAACAAAATCAGACGCGAAAATGCTTAAATTCCACCATTTCCATAACCACCCAACAAGCAAAGGCAAAAATACACCACCAAACCAGATTATGGCATAGCAATATTCTCGAAAAAAGATTCACTCTGATCCAATCATGAAAGTCAATAACAACCTAGTACAGTAAATTTGAATGCATACCGAATTAACTCCACACTAACTTTGCACGATCACACCATCGAAGAATATGATCAATAGGTTCAACACAAATTTCACAAAAGTCACAATAGGAATTACCAGTCATACCTCTCTGCTCATTGCAAAGCAATTCCCAATGCAGAGTCAACCATAAAAAATGAAGCACTCGAGTAGGTAGCTTAAGCTTCCATATATCACTCCAACTCCAATCGGCAAAAACTTCATTATCAAAAAGGAGAGCTAAACCTGTAGGCTGGCATGCCTAAGAAATCTTATTGTAGAAAAGGAAGAATCTCAAGAGGAGGATCGACATGCCAAACAAGAGAAGATGAGAAAAGCCCTAAATTGGCTAATTTATCAGCAATTGCATTCCCTTCTTGAAATGTATGGGTACAACAAAAAACCATGTGCTGCAATCGAGAAATACAGTTTCCACAACAAGTCTGAAGCGACCTACGAGGAAAAAGAAATCATGAGCAAAGCAAGATACCACACTAGAAGAGTCATTTTCAAGCCATAAATTTTACCAACCACGTGCATGAGCTAACTCGATAGCAAGAATGATAGCATAAAGTTATGCTGCCTGCAATCCTCGTTGATGCACTATTTGCAAATTTTTACGTAAATCCATACTAGTGGCAGCTGATAGTTGGGTACTACTAAATCCTTGCAACTCGAGATTATCGGTACGCCTTGACGCTGGTAGTGAGAGTAATCAAATTTCCCCTAAATTTAAAAAGATAGCTATAATTCTATAGAGTCTAAATTTTTGTTATTTTTCCAAATTTTCCATTTATGGGGAGAGGGCAATTGTTGTAGTATCATATGACGTCACCAGCAACGTGACCCATGCATTTAACCACTCGTGAGCTGTGGCATTTGAAAGCACTTCCTTATATAGATTCCTTTTAACCCAAAATTAGCGTAAAAAATCAAAATTTAACAACACACGAAGGTGAAGGAAAGTTTGATTTGTTATTTGCTAAAGGAAATTGTTATTAGCACTCTAAATATCTTATTCTATACGCCAAACTTTATATATTAGGAAAGAAAAATACACTTGTGAGGAGTGTAAAATGAGATTTTTGGAGTGCCCATAATATTTCCCCTTGCTAAAATGAGACTTTTACGTTGGTCTCAGGTTACATACAAATTGAGTTGGCTACTCATCACAGTTAAGTATGTGCTTCATTAAGGTGTTAGCTAGAACAGTTTGTTCCGTACTTGAGCGGCGTTAACTAGAACAATATATTCAGTAATATGTGCTTAAGTCTGAATTCTTTAACAACTTAATTAACTTCGAATTTAATATTGAAAATTTTGAGTAGAAATTTCATTGTCCCATATTGGCCATTCCTAAAAGGTTTCCTCACTTTATAAGGTTTTGTCTCTTATAGATAGTGATTGGAGTAATGGACCTTTGAGAATGAAATTGGGCTCAACCTTGGGGTTGGGTTTTGGGGTGTACTAATTAACTAATAATTAATATATCATTAATTATCAAAAGATGGGCTCTTGAGCTCTGAAAATTAAATTCTTTAATTAATTATTATTTTTTAATTAATTTCGAATTTAATTAAATTATTTTTGAACAGACTCATCTTTTCAGATGAAGTCTGAAGCCAATGGAAAAACGCAGAGAGCACAGTACCCCTCTGAAGAGATGTCTCCCAACAGTCACATCCCATTCTCATACCTATTGCGAACATGCATAATCCCACTATATATACATCCATCTGTATGGCATTTAGAACACAGAAATTATCAAATTCTTCTTCTACATTCCTAAACCTTCTTACTGAGAGAATCACACATAAATTCACCAGAAGTTAAGTTTTCCGGTGCTGGAATTCTAACTTAATCGTTAAATCCTGGTGAAGTAGATGTCTGTAGAACTACAAACATTGAGTAGGGACGAAATTTCTATTTCAAGGACATTGCGGTACGCAAGCCTCGATCTTCAAGTTGTCTGTTTTATATTTTTGTTTTGTTCATACTTTGTTAATTTCCTATTCGCATTTATTATTTATTAGCATGTATAATTTTATCACAGATTGTTGACATATATCCAACATTTAACTTGAATAAAAGATATAAAAGTTTTTAGGGAAACTTGATATAGGTCCAATTTTTTGAGCCAATAGTAGGAATAGTCCAATTTATTAAAATAAGTCCAATTCCTTAAATCTTATTATTTTATTATCAATATTTATCTCTTCAATGATAAGATTTATTATAAAAATCAAATTTCTTCCTAATTATCTCTTTGATTATTTTTTTTTTTTTGTTCTTTCTTGTTCTTTATCCCATTTTAAACCCCATTTTTATATTTTGTTTTTTATTTATATAATCAACCTATATCACAGGTTAATTATATTTATCTACCTATATGACATATTCTTTTTTATAATCAAGTAAGATTCATGTGTTTTGCTTGTAGATATATTATGTTTTTGCTACCTTTTAGTTAGGTTTCATATCTTACTTATAGGTATGATATACATTCATATATTTGTTACTTGAGTTAGGGTATAATAATTTGCAGATAGATTTATGTCAATATATATATATATATATATATATATATATTTTTTTTTTTTGTTATAAGATATTAATTAATTTTTTTTTTGTTATAAGATATTAATTATATTTTTTGGGGTTGAAAATGCATAATATTAGAAGATTTTAATTGATTTTTAATATTTTTAAAAAATATAAAATGAGCATTAAAAAAAAAAATACATATAATTAGGTAATTGGACTCACTCCTAAAAACCATCTATGTTTTTGGATCTGGATCTAAAAACCCCAAGTTTTTATGGATTTGGGATTAAATACTAAATCTAACACTTCAATTTTAAATACTAATTGTTTATATTTATGCTAGGTGTATAAAAAAAAAAAAAAATAGGGCTCTATCAAGAAGAAATGTCCACCGTGAGTTTGCCAAACAAAGAGCCCAAATTACTACTAAATTAATTACTACATTTACAAACTTAGGAAAAGATTGACCAATTACAAATAGTTGCAACACATAAGATCAAAGCAGTTCCTGCTTTCTTGATGTACAAGCAACAAAACCTTTTTATCTCCTCTGGAAGCTCAACTTCTTGATGGACAAGGCAAAGATGAGTGCAAAGAGTAGAGTGAATCCAACAACCACAGCTGCAACCACTCCGATAAATTCTTGCTTGAAGCCGAAGTATTGCCTCATGAATTCTTCCACCGTTTCACCCGTCTCGAGCTTGTCCTGTATATCTCCAAACTGCGATGTAGCCAGTCCGTACAAGGTCCAAGCCATCGGGCACGCCCAGTAGTACCACCTCCACCATACAGGAATCCTCTGCCGTTGGCAAAATGAACACGAATCAGAATCGTAGGATCAGAAAAAAAAACATAAGTATAGGTCCTAACTTTTAAGGACACCAAAGCCTGCATTAGGAGCTAAGGGGCAAGCAACACTTAACAGTTCGTGGGATTATGAACCCTGAGAAGAGATTCCATATTGCGTAAAATGCGCTGGAACTTATAGCGGCAATGTGCTGGTTCGGCGTCAAGGCCACACCCATCATGCCATAGTAGGTGAAGTACAAAAATGTGAAGTACATGAAGAATAGGTACCACAAGAATTTAGCCACGGTCCATTCAAACCCAATCGTTGCGTAAACTATGACACTGTAGAAAAGAGCTTGTACAAAAACATACGGGATCTCAATTGTAACCTGCAACGAAATATAGAAACGGAGTAAGATAAGACAAATACTGCAAATAGTCCTATAACTAGAACTTAATATAACTTAATCTTAGCACAATGTATGATTAGCCACCTGCGCAAAGGCGTATGCCAAGGCAGAATACATTCCAGCAGCTCGTTCTCTGTAGAAGACTGTTCTTTCGACATCCACAACAGGCTGCACAGTTGTAGAATTTTTGATACCGAGAAAGAGAACAGCAGCGTACATCGAACCAATTGCATTGAAGAGATCCTTTTGCTTTTTTCTGTACTCAAAATTTTCAAAGTTACATTTGGAAGCAAAACATATTGGTTAGAATACATCTATCTTTTGTTTGGGCAGTGTGACTTACGTTTTGGAGCCAAGGTTCCAGAACATTGTCCCAAACATCAATGCTACAAAGGTTGTGTAGATCAACCTGATGGCTGTGTACTGCGGATTGCGCCAATAGGACCAATGTTGTTTCCATAAGCAAGCTATGCATTGGGTTAAAAATGGCTGAGAGTATTGAGTAGGGAAATGGAGATCCTTGGAACCAGGAGCAGGGGTGCTTAGTTCTTTAATAAGTGCTTTGTTTCTCCTGCAATTTATGGCATATATAAGTACATTTCGTCGACAAATCTTGTTTGCAAAGAGAGACATTCTTTCGTAAATGGTTTTTTAGGCCGATAGGCAATAAGCAAACCTGTACAGTTCTGAATTCTTATACACTTCAGCAAAATCAATCTCCATAGCCATTTCTTTGGCTGACGAAGTGACTTCCAACATCCATGTTGCTGG